TACTACGTACTACTACTACTACTACTACTACTACTCTACTCTACTCTCTACTCTACTCTCTCTCTCTCTCTCTCTCTCTCTCTCTCTCTCTCTCTCTCTCTCTCTCTCTCTCTCTCTCTCTCTCTCTCTCTCTCTCTCTCTATCGCGTTCTCCTCCTCCTTGACACTCGCCCTTATCTGCTGGTATCAGCTGTTGCGCGGTGATACATACCTGGTCATGGACCACAGTTAGCATCTAATGGCGCGCATAATTTATGCTTCATAGAACATCCGACTATACTTCCCGCGGCTGTGCAGCACGACAACGACATGAGTTAGGGCCGGAATAGTGATAAAAACACGAGCTTGCACATAGACCCGTAGGGTCTATAACGTTATTATACCAAACTCCCACGAAGGATGCTCGTGGCATTAATATTAAAACGACGCGAAAGTAAATTGATCCAGCAGAAAGCGCAGCAATCAGCGTCGAAATCATTTCAGAATCGTAGTCTTGTAAACTCTTTAAGAATCAATCCTTCCTCATCTCCATCGTTCATACGGTGGCAAATTCATGGTTACTATTTCATAATAATCCCTACTTATACATCAGTGGATAATAATCATAACTATTCTTTGAACACACGATATATGTAATGAATAAAATTGACGTGAACAATCATGATGATGATCAAATGTGATCTTTTTATTATCGTATCACAACAAAAACGTTGCAGCAAAGAAATTTCCGGACGATATCGATTTCTCGCAAGGTGTGCACAGATGGTCGCATTCAGAAGGTTTCGAGTTGGAATTTCGGTCGAGATTCAATCGAGAGAGAAATCTCACGAAGGCTTCTTCTCTTCTCGAGTTACTGTATCAAAAGAGACACGTCGCGTTTTACGCGTTTACATCTTTTCACGGTGAGACCTCTGTAAACTCGCGAATTCGGTAAAATATCCTTTTTTCCAAAACGGAAAAAGTTGACTAATAACTCATCGAGAAATATTACACAAACATCAAATACTTTGTTGCAAAATATAAATCGTAAAGTATCATAGATAATTACAATATATAGAGAAAAAATTGTTGCACACACACACAGACTTGTGTGAGATAATACAAAACTTCTTTCCTGCGTTTACATCTCGCAATGTTTTCTCATGATAACGCAATTACAATATATCGTTCGCTCGAGGCCTTTTTCCTCAGGGGACTCCGTTGCAAGAACAAAATTGCAGTGGCTCGGCGTTCGCGATGGCATTTGCACATTCCCTTCCTCATGACTGGATTTCCCCTGAGGTGCTCTTTCTCCCTCCTCTCCTCCCCTCCACCCCCCCTCTTTCTCTCGTTCTCTCTGTCTCTGTTTCTTTCTCCACGTTCTTCCCGCGCATCTTCTCTCCTGCATCCACGCGATATTGGCTCTCGAGTTTTTGAGTGAGAGGGCATAATTAAACGGCGAACATCAAAAGCGGCATTCAACGGAATCTCATATTCCGTACAAACTCGATCGATTCAGTGATCGGTCGCGCTCTTACGACGCTCTTGACAGAAAAGGCGCGCGAGCAGGAACGCGAAGACGGTGCTCCGAAAAACTGGAGTTACTCGGGCATTCGAGGACCCCCGAGACCAAACGATTAGGTAGCCAGTCAGGGGACCAGGAGTGAGCGATGGCCCGTTCAGCACGACGAATCGATTCCCGTTAATATCGATACCAGCGGCGCGAACAAAGACGACGCGCCTCCTTTACTTAAGAATCGACCACGCGCGTATTTACACGTTCATTCGTTCCGCACTCGTACTCGCATCCTTTTTACGTCGCTTTATTCTTTCCCTCCTCTTTCTTTCTTCTTTATATGCTGCTGTCCGTCGAGCAGTCACGAAACATCAGTAAAAAATCGACTAGCACCCCCTGCAGTCTCCCGTTTTTCGTCGATTGATCGAGTAAACAAATTTCCCCCTTTTTTCAACAGCAAGTGCAAAGCACAGCGGTAGTTAAAATTTATGCCGAATATGTATATTAACTCTACACATATACTACACATATACCCCCCCCCCCACACACACATTTTACTACGAATATAACGGACTTTGAAATATATATTTGTAACAACTTGGGATAACATTATAACGTTCCAATAAATATTAATTATAAACATATGTAAAAACAATAATTATTTACCTATTAAAATATGAGATAATTGTACAGATATTACAACAGAAAATTGGTAATATTTATTTTTATCAAAATTATTTGTTCACACAAATACGAGCATTTTAATTTCTTCAAAAAGAAAAAAAAAGACAGCTAATTATCTAGTATTCAAATCATAGAATTTTTCATAATTACTCTCTCTCTCTCTCCCCTCTCTCATCCTTTAAGATTTAATCCTTTAAGACTCCAAACA